TTGACAACCTTTTCTAAGGATATGTTGGCATTAGTTTGTATGACTAAAATAATCAATTTGCAGTGTCACTCATCGTAGCTATGTTGTGGCAATCAATTTGCAGTGTCAACCTCCACTAGACAATCAACACAGACAGTGACATCGCCTCCACCAATTGCCTCTGTTGTGGCAATGTATGAACCCAATAATATAATCACGTTTTATATCTTGATTAGTTGTGCAACTCTTCTTTGAATATGAATTTTGCTCTGATTTCATGTGCAGCCCACACTCCCACAGTCTGCTCCCGAATCTGCCACAACTCTTCCAAATTCGGCTTCTTCTGTGTGAGAAACTGTCTTACATTTGTTTTACAGTAAATTTTAATATGTACCCAAAGTTTATGTTTCAAGACCACAATTTGGTTTTTTATCTATTACCTTTTAAGGAATTTCTGTTCTTGTTTTTATTTTTGCTCAGTTCTGAGCCAGATGTCTATGATCACGCACTATCGAACCTTGTAGCAAGAAGTACCTTAGAGTCCACAATTCCAGAAATTCTTAAAATTGGCGGGGGCAATTGGGACCGGGAGGCAGTCATGTGTGCTCTGCGTGCTGCATAAAACAATCTTGAGAGAGCTTTCGATTACTTGTGTTCGGTGGTAGCTCGGGATTTGTTGACACCTTTGACATTTGACACTAACACTTTAATATTTAGTGTTTTTACAATATTATGAATTATGTTACATTTGCACGTGAATTTTTCATTAATCTAGTTTTGAATTGTGTATTTCGTATTAATATCTTGTTTAGAATTATGTGTGAAAATTGAATGTGTTTTGCCCCCAATTTTAATAGCTTCTGCCAAAAAACAGCAAAAACTAGTAGCTGCGATCAGGCGGTCTGCGACGGAGTAGTACGTTGCTGCTTTCGTCGCAGATCTGCAACGGTGTGTAGACTTCCGTCGCAGATTTTTTGGGTTGCAAAAATAGACGAATCCGTTGCAGGTCCGTTGCAGATCTGCCACGGATTTTCAGTTTCGTCGCAGATTTTAAATCTACCACAAGTTTTCTGCAACGGAATAATTTTGTTGCAGGTCCGTCGCAGATTCTAAATCTGCCACGGAATTTCAAATTCTGCAACAGAAATTGTCCGTGGCAGATCGACAGTTTTCTTGTAGTGAACATTTCTAACCAGACTCTTAAACTATAAATAGTTTAAGAGAAATTTACCTAAATAGGACTAAAACATAATGACTTTCCCAATATAGGATCATATGTTTTTATTTCCCAATGTAGGACTTTTGGTCATTATCAAGTAGTCATTATTCAAGTAAATGTCCATCATTAGAGGACATTATTCCTCCCACTAGGTCATTATTAAGTCCTATTTAGGGAATAAAAAAAGTTTAAGTCCTACATTGAGAAAGTCATTATGTTTTAGTCCTATTTAGTGCAAATTTTACATAGTTTAATGCAGAACACAAGAATTGATAATCCACCCTATGAGTCACGTGGATTACGTACCAAACCGAACAGTGATCTGTCGGGTGGGTGATATCCGGTCTGGATCCCGTACGTACGTTTTAACCCCGAATTATGAATTGGTCAAGGAGGTATATCTTAGAGTTCTTCTAGATATCCTTAACAATCATCATCAATTTCCAAGTGGGTATATCTTAGAGTTCTTCTAGATATCCTTAACAATACACATAATTTTTCATAATCATCATATATTCATTTTTAATCATTATTTAATCATTCATAATTATTATTTTAATAAGAATATTCATCAAAGTCTGATCATAAACAACATTAATAATAATAATCATCATCAATATCCAATAACAAATAGCGGCCTAGCATCGAGTGTTAACACCCTAGCTTATCGTCATATATCACATAAGGTTCTTTAGTTGTCCAAACATCATTTTTTTTACTTTAAAAAAAAAGTCTTTATATTGATGTATCAAAAAATAGGATTTTATATCTTCAAAAATAGCATTTTTGGACTTAAAATGTTTGTAACGGTCGATCGTTGGATCCGCACGGTCATTCGCAGGAAAAACGAAGTTACTATTCATCATCTTCAACCTTCGATCCAATTTCTCAAAACACCATAAAAGCTTCTAAGCTTTAAACTAACTTCTTAAAAATGTTTTCTAACATCCATAGATCACTCACAAACAATTTATTTGAAGCTTTTACAACAAAACAATTTTGGTGATTATGAATATCAAAATATTTATATTTTCAAATATATATGAATCAATAAGTTCAAGGATCATTCCAATGCCTTCTAAAGTTGTTTAAAATCATGGTACAGACCTGGAAATCGACGAGATGAAGCTCAATGAACGAACGGGAGCGAAAACAATGTCGGAAATTACCAAAACCGTCACTTCCCGTCACCACTGTACCAGCCCTGGTTTTCGGGCCATATCTCCTTCGTTACTTAACGAAATCGCGAACCATTTGAAGCTACGGATTCGTAAGACATAAGGGTACAACTTTCGTTTAGAAACCAGATTAAAATAACGACGTTTAAAGGGTGTAAAAATGCTCACAAGTGGGCTGATTTGTACAGGGGATGTTTTCTTCTTTCAACTTTTCCGGGGTAACTTCCGGCAAGAATCGTGGCTACCTCCGCTGACTTTAACGGCGGCGATCACTTGCGGATTGTTCTCCACACAACAAGGAGTAGAATGGAAGAAGAAAGAAGAAGTTTGGGTTAGGGATGAAGGAGAACAAGTGTTTCTTATATAGGCAAGAAGAAAGAAATGAAACAAAAATTTCACTGCTCCAAATCTTTGTTTCGGCTAAGTGGAGACCCTGTCTGCGATTTTCATGCGATCCTGGGAGGTTTTACACGCCTCTCAGTGATTATGAGTGATTTTTATCTTAGTTGGGATACACTTTTTGGTATAACTTTTTCCAAATTGAAATCTGATTATATCATTGTGGTCAGATAGTCAAACTCTACGTGACAATATAATTTACACATTTTTTTAAATACTTTTTCTGACACCTTTTTTTAGGATGTTGACTTTGACAGAGTCAAAATTAAATCAATTGACATATAATTAAAAGTACTCTCATATTCAATCAATATTATTCATTTTGAATAATTTATTTCAATAACTCATTTTACAAAAGTTCTCATCTTTAACCACTTCTCATTTTTATGCAAATTACATATTTAAAATATCACAACTGAAAATTTGCACATCAAATTTATTTATAAAATATACCGTTGGATTTGTCTTTTTGAGACCTATCCATAAAACTCAATTTTTAACAAAAAAATCATTGACTCCAAAATATCCTTCATTTTTGGTCAAACATAGAGATAATATTTTGTTGGGTCAAAATATTGTTTTGAAATTCTTTTATCATAAAATAACTTTTAGATCATGTTTTGGGGCGTTACATTTCTTCACCCCTTAAAAAAAATTTCGTCCCAAAATTTTCTAAGGTAAAAATTCATTTCAAAAGTATTTCACAAAATGATGAATACAACACTTTTGTGATTTTTGTTGACAAAGGGTTGTTTTGTACTTTTGTTTGGGTGAGTAAACAATGATGTATTTTTGTTCAAGATAAGATGACTGCAGCTGACAGATAGATCGTGTTTCGAATTCTTCTAGTTGAGATTCGTGCCAAGTAGATTCACGGATTCTTTTGGTGCATCGTAGAAGTCTTCAACAATCTTTTTATTATTGCGTCTTTCAGCTCATATATGTTTTTCTTACTCCATTAGTGTTCTACAAGCATCCTCAGACTGGAATGTTGGTTCACGGCGTACGCTGACTATTTTTCACTCCCGACAATGATTATTTTCACGATTGATGTTTGTAATTTAAGTTGTATATATAGCAACGTTTGACGAATAGTTATTATTCAAGTAGTCACTTTAGTTTCTCTAAGTAGATAGCCAAACAAGGATTCATAACTCAAGTCCAGATCTGTTCAATTCCGCTTTTTTGGAAATTGTAAGTTTTCTGTAATATTTTAATTAAATGCTTTTTTATTTAAATTGTATACTTTTTATTGTTATTATGTTCTCTTAAATATATTAGGGATGTGAATTGAAATTAGGGTTGTAAACATGTAGGAAAAATAATTACGTTGGAATATTACATTTAATTAATTAAAATGCTAGGTTGTTTGAAATTGTTTTAAAATTCTAATTAATTAATCTGGACAATTTAGTAATTAATCTTGGAAAAAATATTATGTCCATTTGTCTATGAATGAGAAAAATAATTAATTCAACCAATTCTAGCACATTGATTATGCCTAGAGATAGGATAAATTAATGGAATAGTTGTGACAGAACTAATCACTAGCCTAATTAATTAATTAATTAAATCATCCAACTAGTTAATTTATCTGAGAAATGTCTACAACCTGAAATCAATTCATATTCTCTTTTGTCAAATAAATCACTACTTTGCCCTATTAAACTGAATTCAATTAAAACCTTTCGAATTTAGAAGGCTTCCAACGCCAGTGAGTATACTTTGCCTTGCTAGATTTTAATAGAAAATTTATTTTTACGCCAATCCACGTGAATATTACACGAGAATAAATGGAGCTCTTTTAGAGTAAAATTTACTACCGTTAAAAAACTTTCGTTATCTGCCTACGTTCAAGACCAAAGGATGAACTAGATGAGCTGAAATAAGACTTAGGGGCTATTTGGCAACTTCTGAATGGGTAAGTGCTGAACCAGTAAGAGGTCTGAATCATTAAGTGCTGAACCAGTAAGAGGTCTGAACCATTAAGAGCTAGTATATTGCTTAACTATTCAGAGGCAAATGTCTGATCAATTCAGATAACAGCTCTTAACCATTCAGACGCTGTATAATACATAACCATTTAGAGGCAAATCTCTTAACCATTCAGACATCTGAACCATTAAGAGGCTGAAACAAACAGTCTGAACCATTAAGTGCTGAATCATTCAGACATCTGAACCATTAAGAGGCTGACACAAACAGCCCCTTACTCTAAAATCTTTTCTCTAGTTAAAAAATAGATTCCATACCATAGCCCCAACCACATATAACCCCATTGAAACAGTAAAACATCTTCCCAAGAACCAGAGACACAAGACTCAGAATTAATATTGTTATATCACGAATAAGAAACATACTCCGTATAAATTTATTGTTAATTAATCAAGAAAAAATGTTAAATTATCATACGGTTTGGCAAAACCAATTTTTTTTTACAGTTGTAGGACACCGTTTTCATGACATCGAATCACCATACCAAAGCATCCAAATAAAGTTCAAGTTTAAAAAATTTCAATTAAAGATCAAAAGAGAACTCAATCACTTTTGAAATTTGAATTTAAAAGATTTGAGAGAGTGAGATGGAGATGGACGGTGGGACATATCTGTGTGGCGGCATAGCAAATCTTTGAAGATGATGGTAGTGGTGGTACAACAAGCTGAGAGGGTGAAGGCACTAACGACTATGGCAACGCACGAGGCGGTGATTGCTATGAGGGGTGATTGCTTAAGAATTAAAGAGTACGGAGTAATATTTTGGTTACAAATACGGAGCTGATGGACGGCGAATCTCCTCCGCCCAAGCCTGATGGGGAAAATCCAACTGGGAATCTCCTCCTCCGCCCATCTTCGGGTGGAGCAGGCTTCTCGGAAGTGGGCGAAAGGGAAATCCAAATCCATGAAAGATACGAGGGAGAAAAGACCGAGTGACCTTCACCAGGGCGATTCCAAGAAGGCCCGAAAGAAACCCCCGGTTGACGTCTCTTTTGCTAGAGGAGCTATGGTTCGAAGATGGGCGGAGGAGGAGATTCGCCGTCTCTTCCGCTGAAGGTAGCATTTGGAATTAATCTGGTCAGATTGGATCCCCTGCACCAACAGATATATCCAGGCATTCAGGCCAAGCACGACACACCAAGAGGATAGCTACAGAGCATAACTACACTCTGATCAAGCATCCTGTCACGTGGCTAGCACGTGGCCTGGCATGGGCGCCTGGCCACCCTGTCCCCTAGATTCACTATAAATATCGTTCTAACCCTCCGTAGAAGAGATCCGAGTTTCATCTCTCTAAATGCATATTGTATAAAACCTCCATTACTTCCCTCATACTTAATAACAATTAGACTACTAATGTTTCCACCTACACTCCTCCCGGTCAACTCGTACTTTCTGTGCCCTTTTAGTGTCTGAACTCAGCAAATCACCCAAGACCCGCTCCAGAGTAGTTTGCCCAGATGATAATTTACAACATCACTCATAAATGAGTATTCATTACAAATGTACATGAAATACTCTATTACCGATAACCAATTGTAGAGTGTATATTATCATTATTTCAAGAATGGATGAAGTATAATTATATGAAGTTGGGAGGGATCTAAAGCAATGTTTTGAAAACCGGACCAGACATCGAACCGGACAAGCCACTGGGTCAAGAGTCAACCGGTCGAACCGGGTTGACTCGGGTCAACGACCCATTACTTGGTATATAATATTCATATTTATGTTTAGATAATAAAAAATTAAATAATTCCATATTTTGTGTACTATTTTTAAAGATAATAAAATATTATCACATAACTTAAATATGCATATTATTTCAAAATAATACGAAGCACATACTCCCTCTGTCTACTTTAATCTTTCCATTTGAATCGGACAGACATATTAAGAAAAGATGTAAATGTTATTGTCGATAATAAAAAAAATATTTAAAATTGCATTTTTTTCTTCTTTATGTTATTTTCAATGTCATTGTTCATATACTCTTTCACACTTTCCATATTTTATTATAATTAGTATATATTTCTTCATTTTATAGATGATAATATTTGTTTAGATATAAATTATTCATTATTATTTAATACAAAAAATAATTTTTTTTACTTTGAAATATTTTAAAAGATTATAAAATAATCACACAACACAAACATGATCTTTCTTACAAATAGTTAGAAGTTTTCTTAATTCACTCAACACAAATAAAAAACACTATATATACTATTTTGCATGACTTTGTTAACAAGAGTTGAGTAGCTTAAGTGGTTATAGACTTGGAGAATTATATGGTGATGTCTAGTGTTCAAATCCCAGCTCCATCATTTTGTTCCGCCAGGTCTACCGGGTCTGGGCGGGTCGATGCTGATCCGGGTTTTACATTTGAACCGGACTGGATTCCTCACCGGTTGGACCGGCCTATCCGGTCCGGTTCTAATAACAGATCTAAAGTTCAACACCATTGCAAGGGCCCGCCGCCCCTCACTTGTTTTGTTTCGTCCCTCTCCCAAAGAACAAAGGAAATCCCATTTCCCTCAGCCCACTACTCTCTCTCTCTCCTCTTATAAATCCATGAAAACAAAGAGACCTGAATATGCTTCCATGATGCTTATCCTATCCCCAACAATGGGGCCGGCCAGAGAATAGCAACTCTTCAAAAACCACATTATGGCGAAGATGTCTTCCTTCCTATCCGTACATTCTCTCCCCCCCCTCCCCCCACGCCCCGCCTCCACACCAGAGCCATCTCTGAAAAATGAAAAAAAATAAAATTGGTCCGGTCCTAAATTTATATTTTGGACCTTATTTTATTTTTTTAGAATACTTTTCCTTTAAAATTATTAAAAAAAATTAAAAATATGGGGCCCTAAAATTTTAGGTGCCCTGTGCGGTTGGCCACTTTGCACACCAACCACACATGCTCCACACACACACGTACAAATGGGGTACCCCATGTTGGTGTACCCCTAGCATATATTCCCTCCCTTCAAAAATTATTTCCTATTCATTATATCAACTATCTAGAAGGTCAAATTTTATTTACTTGATTGACTTATTTTCGTTCCCTGTTTGATACTCTCTCCGTCCCAATTTAAATTGTATGTTCTGTTTATGATGTTTGGTTGAAATATATTTTAAATTCATTTTATATGAAAAACGATATAGAATTAACAAATAAAAATTACATACTTGTAGTATTTAAAATCTACGACATTAAAAGATCTACAAAACTAGTAGTGATATGATTACATTATTTTATCAAATGACCAATGAAAAAGAAAAAAATTAAATGAAGTTTGACAATGTGAATAAGAAACGGACAATTTGATTTTGGGTGGAGGAAGTAAAATAATAGTCATATCAATTGTAATTTTATCGATGTTTTGATATAGCTTTTATATATATAATTTTTATTTTTATTTTTAATTTAACACCATATTTCATATACAAAATTATTTGAAAAATAAATTCAATTGAATTTTATAACATAGAACGGAAAGATGATTTTGGGACAAAATATACAACACACAGTACTGTGGTGCGAATCCCGGGACCGCCACAACCCCATCATTTTGTCTTTAAGCATCATTTTTCAAATGGGCCGAAATGCCAAATGCCCATCCACTGTCCAACTCACGAAGTCACAAGTGTCGTGGTCTTTGTTGGTCTTCATTCCCTCTTCTTGCTAGAGAAGGAACCACAGGGTAAATAATACTGCATGACAAATGGTATAGAGTTAAAAAATAAAAATTACATATTGTAATACTGCATTAAGAGATCTACAAAACTAGTAATAACAATAGTACTTTATTTTATCAAATTACTAACGAAAATAGAAAAAGAAAATGAATGAAGTTTGACCATGTGAATAGTGAACATGCATTATAAATTGGAACGGAGGAAGTAGAGAGAAAGACCAAAGTACAACTAAAACATTGAAAATATATCAAAATAGGACTTCTATGTTTTTATTCTCGAAATAGGACTTACATTACCATACATGAGCATATACATTACCAAAATAGTATAGTAATTTGCACATGTACACTGCCACATTACAACAGGGCAAAGTCACATTGCAACAGTGCAAAGTCCTATTTTGGAAAAACACATGAAAGTCCTATTTTGGTACTTTTCTCTATGTTTTAGTCATATTTATGGTGATTTGTAGAGGAAGTACTATCTCGACCGTCTCGTAAATTTTTTTATGTTTTGACTTTTAGTCTATTTAAGGCGAATTCTATTTTGGTAATGTATATGCTCACGATTGACATTGTAAATGTATTTTAACTGTTATTTCAAGAATAAAAACATGAAATTCCTAATTTAGTATATTTTCAATATATATTTTATTCCTACTTTATTTTTTTTACTAACGAATTTAATTAAAAGCGGAAATAGTTTTTAGGACTAATGAAGATTGAAAGTGAAAAGGTTTTTTTAGACGCAAGGAACATTTTCTTCATGTTTCAATTTACCGGACTTGATTTCAATTATTTTCAATCCAAATTATTTTATTTTTAGGTTAAAATCTAAAAATAAATCTTCTATGTTCAGTGTAAAATCTAAAAGTAGATCTTCTACATTCTCCATCCCAATTTGTTTGTCTACTTTAACTTTTTGTAGTCATAGAGAATGATTTCTGAGTTTCTATTAAACAAAAATTGTAATGTATATTAGTATAATAATGATTTTATTAGATAAATCTTGTAGAGAAGTTTCGAAGTTTTATTTTATTGTATTAATATATAATACTCCGTACAAATTAAGAGTAATTGAAGATTAAAGATTTATAATTTAAAAAAAAAGTCAAACTAGACAAAAATACTGGATGAAGACTTATTTTGGAAGGGAAGAGTATGTTCGAGTTGGTCAATGACAAGTTTTGTTGTTGCAACAAACACCCATCCCATGTCGTTTCAATTTTGTCACTCGACATACCTACCGGCCACTTTGACTAGAATTGTTGATTGAATTTAGAAGGGGAAAGTGTCTCTAGATTTGAATCATAAGACATTTAAGTTAAATTATATTAAAAGATTAAATTCAATCAATTAAATAATTTAACTTAAAAATTTAAATTCTAGTTACTTCTAAATTTTCAGTGTGAGATATTTTAGGCTAAACTTCACCATTCGTCCTTCAACTTTATCAATTGTGCACGATTGGTCCTTCAAGTTTTAAAAGTCCATAAATAGTCTTTCAACTTTATAAGTTATGCACTATTGGTCCTTCAAGTTTTAAAAGTGCATAAATAGTTCTTCAAGTACACGTCAGCCCTCCAGATGAGGTATTTTTGACAGTAAATGTTAAAAGCTAAATGGAATACTAGCTCCATATAATACGGAGTAATCGTACCTAGTGGAATTAACTCGTATTATATGAAACTAGTATTTCGTTTAACTTTTAATATTTACTGTCAAAAGGACTTCATCTGGAGGGCTGACGAATACCTGAAGGACTATTTATGGACTTTTGAAACTTGAAGGACCAATGATGCAAAACTCATAAAGTTGAAGGACTATTTATGGACTTTTGAAACTTGAAAAACCAATCGTGCACAACTGATAAAGTTGAAGGACCAATGGTGGATTTTAGCCGATATTTTAATAATTGTTGAAGAGTACTTATATAATATTTTAATAAAAAACTGCGTAGGTAATTTGATAATTTCATATTATCAAATTCCAAATGAAGATATTGTCAACTCATCATATTAATTTCATAAACACTTCAAGGATAAAATGTAAATTAATTTCATAAACACTTCAATTTGTTGGGGAAGTGAGTCAAACAATTAACTAAAAACACAAATGTTGTTCAACGCTATACCATTTGCCAATCATGCCACAAGGAACACACTCGCACGTAGTGACTAAAACTTGTGTATTAGACATCTTGTTTTGAGATCAAAAGGTTAGGATCATTATACACGTACGTAGAGTTTACACTATTTGTCTATTAAATTTTGAGCGCATTTAAATATTTCTTAGGTCTAAAATATGTAACTTATCCATAAATTTGGTCTCTCCATTCATTTGTAATTAATCAATATGTCTTTTGTGATAAATCAAAAGTTGAATGAATACATGCATATATTATGTATACACCCATTTTTAAATGAAAAATACTTCGAGAATCCTACTTGGTAAATACTAAGTGTACACCAAGGCAAAATCAAACACACACACACATGCACTCAATGTTTGTCTGTACACCGATACTTATGCACAAACACTAAGTGTCTGTGTTTACTTTGAGTACAGTTAGTATACACGAAGTGAGGTTGCCCTACTGCCCTAGCACCCTCCTTTTAAATATATTTATAAAGTCATAATGGTAAATAATGATAAACATAAAGACTGAGAACGATCATCATAAAAGTTTGGGCGTCACCCAATTCGGCCTAGCTACACTAGACCCATGTCACAATGAAGCATGCACATGTATAAAGAAGAGGACAAATTAAAGGACCCAAGAGGAACCCGCCAAGGTGGGACCCTGGTCGCATAGCTGGTTGCCTTATAGGGATGACCGGCCTGCAAGTAGCTCTAGTTGCCTCCGGTGACAACCTAGGAGACGACATGCCAAAGGCATGCCAAACTTAGTCAAAAGAGGACACAAAAAGTATCTTATACAATATACTTATTTGATTTTTTCCATTTTGTGGGGGATTGAGATTTTGAAGCATAACCCTAAAAATTGTTGAGACCATGTGTGGTTCATCCCAACAAACTTCCCCTAAAACTAGGACCGTACCACTCGTGATCTCCCCTTCAGCAATAAACCATTTGATTCGCTACTATTTTGCAATGCGACTGCAAACCTCGCGAGACACACCACCCTACCTCCTCCTGTCACGAAGGCTTTCAACACATGACATTAACCATAGACCAGCAATCTACCATGTCACACCATTTGATTTGCTAAATCATCTTGTACAACCGTTAATACCCAACGAGACACACCACATTAATATGATATTGTCCAATTTTGGCGATGCTCTCACGAATCTGTTTTAGACATCTTTAAAAAAGTTCAATATTTATCAGTTGAGTTGAATTAATTTATCAAAACTTCTAGGGTTACACCAAAAAGTCTATCCCAATGCCTTTCCACCGCATAATCCAAATATTAAAATAAAAAATTTAATGAGTGGATAAAAATGTAAGGTGAGAAATGATGGTGTACAACTGGGGTACACCATGTGGTGTACCTGAAGTTTCATGGGGGGGGGGGGATAAACCAATTATCCAATCAAACCAATCTATAGATCACACAATGCAAACAAGACAAGAAGGTGGGCACAAAGATGCTACAACACAAGTAACTGTGATATGTGACTTGCAGGGTGTCGTAGCATCTTCCATGTCGTTAATAAAAAAGCAAATATTTGAAAGTAGTAAACATACACAAAGATGCTTACGCAATTCAGAGCAATGTCTATAATGTCTGCGGGGTCCATGTCGGTGTAACATCCTTTCCACTAAAGTAGTGTAAAAATTACACCTTTAACTTCAATAGATTCTATCTAATGAATTGACTTAATCTTTTTATGAGTGATTTGATGAAAAATTCTATTTGCGTCTAACTCCTTGACATGTTATACATTCTTCAAGATCTTCTTCAAGGGACATGCAATCAGCCCAGTTCCAGGATACAAAATATCAAGTTCTGGTTTTTCCAGTTAGCACAGGTTGCATTTGCTCATACAGCAGCTCTAAGTTTTGTGGATGTAAAACCAAGCTTTTGAGACCTCACACAAGTGATCTTCGTATATTTAGTGAACTCCTTTGTTGTTGTCTCTAAGATCCTCTCTAAGTATTTTAATTTCGAATTTGTTCATGAGCAGAGACACTGATTATATGATCAAGGACACAATTCTAGGAGAGTTTGTGTAGGATTCTTCCATCCATGCAAAGTAATCCGCAAGCCTAACATACATGGAGAGAAAGGAGTTCATGTAACCCCTGATTACTTAAAGATATTATATAGTATCATATCGGGATAGGGAATGATTTTGAGCATATTTGGACTCCAAAAACAAAATACACGAGAGAGAGAGAGATTAAGGTTTAGGGTAGAGTAATTTGTTTATTCATTGAGTGATAAATCTATGGTGATGGATACATTTATATGATCTAAATCTAAAGAATCGTAACCATTAAAGGTAATTACATAAAATAGGAATCCTTATTATAAAAGGTAACTAAATCTATACTATGGTTATGGATATATTTAATAATAGTAGTAGTAGTAGTAGTAATAATAATAATAATAACAACAACAACAACAAGTCAACAACAATACTAATAGTAAATATAGTCCTGTATCACTCACCCCGCCTCAAAAAGAAACTTGTCCTAAAGTTGGAAATCCAACAAAGAATTGGAAAGAGGTGTGTCGTTTATCATCCATCCTCTAGGGTTAAAACCTTGACCATTGAAGCATCAAAAGAACATGTTGGTCAAAAGTACCTCTAACATTAATAAAACCGCTCCATGCAACCAACAGTTGGAAAATGATATCATCTTGGGTAGAAAAAAACATGAAAAGACAACAACTTCAATGTCTGGCATCCCAAATGCTTTTGTACATCCATAAAAAATTACAGCGTTTGGGGAAACTATCTTCGGGATATAAAGACTTCGGCAATGGTCGTCCCCATAAACACCCTCTGTAAGAATAGCATCAACAACGGTAATATGAACAACATTGATAACACTTACCAGATCAACAACTTCCCCTTCCAATTCCCGGTCCTAGAAATTTGTGTTCAACACAATTACCGTAGAGGCTAGGTGCAGTGGAGCACCGATAAGGTTTCTTATAGCGTTCATCATGTTTGTTCCGAATACGTGAAACTCAAAAAGAATCAGACTCGGCATAATTAGGAAACTACGAACTAAATCCTGGATAAAGTATGATATTTTTACATCGAGTGCATATAACTCCAAATCATAAGAGAATTGACCATCAATATGATTATATGACGAAGCGACTGCAGTTTCTTTTTAATATCATCAACAAAATCTTTAATTAAAGAACATTCTCTAATAAACCAAGAAGATTGTCCATTGCACAATTCATGATCATAATTACCAAAAAGTTTTTTTGTATGATAAGTATAGCAGCAGATATACTAGGGATGAAAAAAATGAACGAAAATTATGAATCTCTTTAATGCTCCTGAAAATTGCTAGGCGGCAACAACACTACGTCCATTATCAATCAATCGATAAAGAAATAATCACTCTTAACCATAAACTCTCTCTCCTCTCTCATGTCGACCAACATATATTCTTCTCTTCTCTCTCATTTTCTTCATTTCTTCTTCTTTTCGCTCTTCAATCTCTCTTTAATATTCTCTTCCCAAATCTCATTGCTTGAAGGTGCTCGAAATCTTTCCCTATCTCGATATGATACCATATCAAGATATACCAATCCAAAGAATATATACCAGCGAAGCTTGCGCATGTGGAGTACAAGGATCCAAGTGTTCATAGAACGCTTTTTGTAGAATGTAGGTCAGCAGAACACTAATAGAAACTCCTTTAAGGTAAGACTCTTCACAACACAAGTTAGTCAGAGTGACATATCACATGTTCAAAGAACATGATGACGAACATAATGTTACAGCTTTATATTCAATCAAAACAGCTAGACACAAATATATCTAACACCTATTTGTTTGTCAAAAAAAATGTCAATAAGAGTTTACAACTTCTCAACTAAATAGGGAGTATGACATAAGGAAAACAACACATGGAAGGCACCGTATCCCTAACATTACTCATCAATATTTAGGCTCACTTCTTTCTTTGTTTTTGGTGTGGGAGTGGTTGGAATCCCAACAACCACCTAGTATAGTGGGAATGGTTAGTTATTAGTGTGTGGCTTTACAACAAATGCTAACCGTGCAATTGACATTCAAGTACGAGTATATAATTATTTTGAGTAAATATAGCACAAAGATTCTGTTAATTGACGTTAAACCAAACAGGAAACTCCAAATGCATATTAAGTGTTAATTACAAGTTGCAGAATGCCAACTTTCTTAATCAGAAGGGATCTGACATAAGATGATGAGGCTGCTGATTTTCAAGATTACTATATACAAAAGACAAATCACAAATCCCCTTAAGCAAAATAAGAAAAACTCAAGAGCTTGAGGTTAATTACTTAATTAGCATCTTCAAGCTAATTAGATCCATATTCCACACATCCCAGCTAGCTAGCTAAGGACTTGTTCTACGCCGCTCTAATCTCACCGCGAGATTCATGCGCGTGGGGCGCGTGTAGAAGCTGCTCCGCCTCCCAGCTCAACTTCGAAGCCACGCCTATGTGGCGTGGGACATACTCCTGTACGTCGTCATAAACCCAAACAAAAACATTTAATTTATGAGGTATATTTTGTTATTAATTTCCAATTCTGCTCTTAAATATAATGTTAAAAAGTAACATGTGATGAAAACATTAATACTCGCATGCCAAAATATAATTACGCTATTGTCGCTTCAACTTTAATTTGACACTAAAATTTGACATCACGTTTCACCTCGAGTTTCATTACGAGCTCCTTGGCAGTAGGAGCGGATACAATGATGTGGCGGGCGCTCGGGCATATGAACCCTTCCTCCACGGCTTTGTCGATGAACGACAACAACGAATTATAGTACCCCTCAACATTCAGTAGTCCCACCTGCAGCCAATGTGTGAAAATATTTTCGTCCTTTGAGTACTTTTATTTTTAATTAAGGTCCGGCCATATAATAGTTTATCGATGGTACTTAGGAATATTAGATAATAGGAAATAAATATTATATTTAATTAAGCTAAATAATTAAGAAGGCGTCGTACCGGTTTCTCATGAATGCCGAGTTGAGACCATGTTATAACTTCAAGTAGCTCCTCCAATGTTCCATAACCCCCTGTGTTATTATATACGGAGTATAAAGTTGTCATGACTTTTTATGCAAGTGATTGATTTTATTCAAAACTCTATTTGTTGTTCTTGCCTCCCCGGATTGATTAATTTTCACATTTATGCGTGTGATTTTTGCATCCCGAAGTCCCCTTCTTGAGAGTAGAACTTCTTTTAAACAAACAAAAATTGAAATGCGGTATTCGCTTGTGAGGCGAATATAGTACTACATTAAGAAATCTTTGTAAATAAGAGTAAATATGTGAAACGTATAACAAAAATAGATATCTTGTTTTCTCATTCTCTAAACAGGAGTACTGGCCCCGTGAAACGGCATAATTTCGCGTTTTGTGTGTTGCCTTTTCAATTGTTTGTTGTTTATTATTCTCTCCATCCCACAAGACATTTCCTGTTTGAAAAATTAAAAAACGGACTTTAAAAATATGTAATTTTAGTACTCCCTTCGTTTCATAAAAAGCTTCATGTTTTGAATTTTAAGAGAATTAGGGAATATAGATTTGTGTTTGACTTTTCCAATTTTCGTCCTTGATGTGATGAATAAAAGTAAGATGTAATAGGTAGGGTAATAAAAAGTAGGGGTAAAAGTGGTTTTTAAATAGAAAGTGAAAGAATTATGGGGAAAAAAATAAAAGTGAAAGTATTTAAAAAACGGAAGGAGTATTATTTTCTAATTTTTAATTTTCAATCTCTCTTAAACATCATTTCTTATCCTATTAAGGCAAAATTAAAAACCAAAACTAAAATCACACATTTTTAAAATCTTCCCGAAAATGTTATGTGACACGAAGTGAGTGTGTCAGCATTATTTGACATTATAAATCATATTTTGTTATAAAAACATTGCAAATTTTATTAAGAATTTAAAGTTAGTGTTGATGAGGTTTTTAAACCTACTACAGATCAGAATGATTCCTTTAGGTACTTTTTCTTTACAAACTTGTTAATGTTTTTGCAGCACATTCGTTTTATCTTTCACTTGAGGAAAGTTTAGTTGAGTTGATTTCAGATGGCTGTGAACCCAATTAAAAAAAGGGTTAGTTGACATAGTTCTGATTCTATGTTCTAACTGCAAGATTTGAATCAGTCAACAGATGGAGTTTGAATTGTAACCCTATGCTTCTTCTATCTAGATAAGAATGGAATATTATAAAGAAAAAAAATATGGATTAAGCTTCTAGTAAGACCAGAATTTGTATCTCATTTTGTACCTCAAAAGCATGCATTGACATTTTATGCTAGTGTGATGTTAGTGCGATGAAATACATTAACAAAAAATGTCAGTGTAAATTTTTTAAATTGAACTAACATTTTCTGCAGTGTGAATCGTGAAAATGTTGCTGCATTTATTTAGGGCACAACTTGGGGTACACTTTTGGTGTACCCCTAGCATGGTTGAAAATATATATATACACCCTTGCTTTGAGATGCTTTAAAACTTAAAATACTCTCCCGCTCCATTTGGTACACAAAATTAAAGCCATAACATTAGAATTGGGGACTTTAATTTCAATTCTACAGTTTAAAAGCACAAAAATATGTAGATTTGGAATTGTTAGTGCAACAAATGAATTAAAATTGGAGAATTCAATTCCATAGAATATAAATTTTAATTCAATTCCAATTCCGCCGATTCCATGTACCAAATGAACCCTCCGCGTCATAAAAAAGTTACGCCCAATTTTACTTTGTGAAATTTGCACTGAATAGGACTAAAACATAAGTCATTTCCCAATGTAAGATTTAAACTTTTTTATTCCCTAAATAGAACTTAATAATGACCAGTGAGAAGAATAATGTCCAAATGATGCTAGACATTTAGTTGAATAATGACTAATAGATAATGACCAATGGTCCTACATTAGAAAAAAACATATAGATATATTTTAAGAAAGTCATTATGTTTTAGTCCTATTTAGATTAGTTATCCTTTTACTTTTCTTAAATTTTGTACTAAGTTAAACCAAGAACATTAAATTGAGACCGAGGAATTGAAGTCAAACCAGTATCTCTATGTTTGATAATGCATTTGTCCCACAATGAATTACACTACTATTTGAGTAACATGCAATGTCTCATCTCTTTTAAGTGCTTTATTTATAAATTAGTACTCTATATTAATTTAACAAAGTCTCATGAAGAATTTTTCATTTCCTTTTTTGCCCATCCCTGAACAAAACTTCAATTTTCCTTTGAAAAAAGAATTTGTAGCTAAAAACGTTTCTCTACTATTACTTTAACAAAGTCTAACTACACTTTTTTTTTTATTTTTCAATATATTTGTGAAATCAATCATGTTACACTTACACGAAAAAGTGTACCCTAAAGTTACATCAAAGTTATACACTAACATGTTGATAGTTCACACTGACACAAAATGTTGGTGCGTTAACAAAAATTTGCACTAACACTACTTTATTTTGTGTAATCTATCACTCTAACATTATACCGAGACAAAATGTAGGTGGACACCTGCAGTGTACAAATTCGGGTACAAATAGCTTAATCCTTCTTAAATTTCGTAAAAGTCAACTAGTCAAGTTTTTTATTGGACAAAGAAGTCTGGAGTATGTCCAAACAAAATAAAGCACCAGTAACAGAAAAGAACCAAAAGGATGACACTAAAAACCTTTCCAGAGGTTCTCTGCAGAACTCTAATGAGCACATATAATTTCATCCACACACAGAGACAGAGAAGGGACAACACTGTGAATGACCTTTAAATAAATGGATTTGGATAAGGGTGAACTAAATAAAAGATCACAGCAGGTGGGGGACATGAAATCCATTGGAATTTTTTACTTATGACAAGACAATTAATGAGACAAGTGTTTCGGTATATTGTCGCCAAAGAATAGTGATCGATTGAATGAGAAATTAATTCACAAAGTCAAAATACTTGAGAAGAGTAAAGCTCACTTATCTCACATCGAGTTTGAGACCTTTCATCTTCCTCCATTTATATGCTAATTGAATTGCATTGTAAAACAATATGAGGAGGAAAGGAAAGAACCCCTCGCGCACTGCCGCCGCTGTCTGTCCGGCTCGGCACGTCACACACGAGAACGTGCATTGGCGTGTGCGTGCGTGCAACGCGTCGCATGGGCCAACTCTTATCTTTTTGCGAGATCAAAACGAATACGCGTGGACACATCGTTAAGTCAAAGAAAGGAAGCATTGTGAAAGGTCTTATGTGACTCTTCGGGGTGTCCGCCCTGTCCAACCAAAAATCCAGTTTCGCTCCTATATAAGGAGGCCGGGCTTGAGCGGAGAAGGAAGTCTCAGCTTTCAGAACTCTCTCTCTACGTCTAAACCTCTCTCAATTTCTGATCATCTTTTCGGGCGAGTAACTCTCCATCGTTCTAAGTTCGTCGGTGCACTGCTCTATTGCTACAGACTTTGCACGTTAGCGGTTTTATACTGGGAAGGGATCGTCCATGTTAGCCAGTGCGGGAGGCGGGCGACACTACCTTAAGGAAAAGCTCCGGCAACTCCACTTTCCTTAACGTTTGCAGGTTCGTCTTTCCGACTACACACCGAGAAGCTCCGTATCCGTTCGTCTTCGACCAGTGACGTTTCACCTTATTATTTAATTTTTAATTCCACTTCTTCCATTGTAAAATCCAAACATATTATAAGTTCTGATTATTTTTCTTTATTTCTTCCCTCTTTAATCTTTGTATAACACTCAAGCCCAAATTTATTGTAGTAATAAATATTTAAGCTACTTCTACCCTAAAGATGTATTTCAACTTGTAGTTCAAAGACTTGGACTTACACTCCGATGGCTTACACTAATACAAAATATAATTTTGCGATCGCACTGAAATTTTATGTCATTGTGAGTCATCAGAGTGCATGTGTAAGTCTTTCGAGTACAAGTTGGAGTATAATCTTTGAAGTATACCTAGCATGGTTGAAATATTTAACTACACGAAATTTAAGAAAAATACTTAAAAAAAACAAAAAGTGAGTGATTTAAACTTGCATAGAAGAAAGTGTAACAATTTTTTTAGGACTCAAAAGAAAATTTAGACACTTAATTCAGGAGAGGAAGAATACTTTTATAATGATTATAAATAAAAATTTTAAAAATTTGACCATAAAATTAAAGTGACATACATGGCTATTGGGATGGGAGGAATATATGGTACCAACCTGGTAAGGCAATGAAAGCATCTGAGTGTCTTCCCATCTCTGCTTTCCTTTGATGCATATTAGCAACAGCTTTCACTTCCCCCACTGTTTCACCAGTTAACTGTGAAAGATTTACCCACACAAAAAAAGTCAAGGTAAGAGTTGACCCTGCTGTAGTGTGTTCTGAAACTGTGAATAATAAAAGTGTTGTCCATAGGTATAGTTTTGATGGTTCTAAGACAGAATGTTAAACTAAGTTCAAGGTATCAAGATCGAATCCAGACATGTTAAATGGTTCTAAAAGTGAGCATTTTATCTCATCTGAAAACTTTCCCTACACACCTGGCACGATACGACATCTCTAAAGACTAAACTAAACTTTATCCTTCTACTGCTCTATCGAATTGAAGTGTGGGGCACTCGGGGTGGGTGTTTCACCCGTGAATAAACAAAGAATTATCATTACCCAACAATTTCAACTATGCTAGCTGTACACCAAGTTGTACAATAAGCGATTGCACTAGTACTTTGAGGGCTCAAGCTCAGGCTCAGCTGACACTGGCACAAAATGTCAGTGCAAAATTTTGAGACAACACTAATATTTTGTGTCAGTATTAGTCACCGAAGAACTCATGCAACTTCTTGATGTACAACTTAGTCTACACCAAGTGAAGTGCATGCAACATTATTGAAAAAAAGATGACTTTTTTTTATAGATTAGTAGGTGCATAATGATGAATGTAGTATGCAGTGTGAGTGTTATGAACCTAATCTTTAAAATTCTTTAAAAAAACATGAGCTGCACAGCTAGTGGGCTATGGTACATCTTGGAAACATGCATTTGACACACATACAGAGTATCCATTAGAAAAAAGAACAAACCTTCCAAGTACCTAAAAAAAGTGCCTATTATATTACTCCCTATTCTGGATATATTAAGAATCAAATGAATATAGACACACGACTAGTCGACTACGGAGTATTCCTTTACATTCATTCAAAAATCTAATGTATATCAATACATCCACACCAACATCACTTGCGGGTTGGACATTTTTCACCGACAAGTCGTACGGGTGACGAAAAAACAACTAGAGGTGTTGAGAATTGTAGTTCAAATTTTTTTTTGAGAAAGTAAAATTTGAGCTAATTTGGAATTTTTTGGCAATTTGGCAACGTGGGGCAACTTGATTTTTTTTCCCCAAAAAAATAATTATGTCATAGTTTATTTAAATGCAAGTTGACCAACAACTTTCAAGAACAGAATGGGCACATATACCTCCCGGGGCATGAGAGTCTTGGGGATTACTCTGTATGGGAAACAACAACAAGACAAAGTGATTAGTTTCAGTACACAATGTTAATAAGGGAAATGACAAAACTAACAAGAAACTGATGCAATATTAACGAAAATAATTAAATAAGAAAAAAAAAAAAGAAAACTAATTCATTATGAAGTGAAACGATTAATATTTAATCTTGAATAATGAAATTATGGAAGGATTAATTCAAAATAAAAAGAGTAAAAAAAAAGAGAAAAGAATGGCATCTTAATTACCCAATAACATGTCTGCCACCATCATGAACAGCTTGTGAGACCAGACCCATCAGCCCTATGCTTCCACCTCCATAAACCAAATCAATGTTCCTTGAAACCTTTAACACAACAACTCTACACATTAATCATTATTCAGAAGAAAAAAAGTCAACCTAAAAATTGTTGAAAATTCTTCATTTGAACCTTGCATGTGATCATTATTTTTTTCGAGACGAGATAAGGGTAGAGTTTGAATTTGTAAACCATAATGCGCTAATGCCGAACGAAATCAACCAAAAACACAAACTAAGTTTAGGATGGTCAATCCAGAAAGAAAGAGTTTTTATATTGTGACCCATTCACACTTTTGTCTTCTTTTTTATCTTCATGATTGGAAAAGGTCCAAAGGGTAAAAAATGGGCTCTTAATTTAACTCACAATTAACACATAAAAGGTTACACTTTACAGGTAAGTGCCACCTAACTCCAAGGATGATACATTTGCACCTTTTCCTTTTGGGGTTTATATAGAAATGAAAAAACCGGCAAAGTGTCGGGTAAAATTAATAACTTACATATAAAGTCGGGATCACTTTTTAACCCAAAAGCTTAATATACTCCCTCCGTTGCATAAAGTGCTACCCATTTTAACTAAAGTTGAAATTAAGGGATGAATAATTTTGTGTTGACTTTTCAAAAATACCCTTGATGTGATGGGTAAAAGTAGGATGTGATGTGTAGATTATTAGGAAAAAGATATGATGTGATATGCAAGGTTTGAAAAAGTAAGGGGTAAAACAAGTTTTTTAATAGAAATGGATAAGAAATTATGAAACACAATTTTTTTAAAAGATGTAAATCTTTTTAGGACAAATGGAGTATTAGATTAATAAGTAGAGCTTTACCCTCTCATATATATTAGTCGTGTTCTTATTTTATTATCCGATGTGGCACTCCAACAATAACCCCATCTTTTGGTCTAAATGAAACTAGTATCTCAACTTGGTCAATAAGGAATAGAATTTTGTAAATGGGTTTGACGAGGACTAGAATATAAATGTCCCACACTGTCTTTTTTTCTAGAAGTCGAATTTGGCCACAATATCTTTTTACACTTTCTATATATATTGACAACTTGAGCTACGCGTTCGAGCACCCTACCCCAAAGGGAAGATATTTCTCAAGAATCATTTACGGGAAAGCAACCCAAAAGAAACAAAAAGAAGAAACAACACGATAACAAGAATACTGTAAAACAGAGACACATGCAAAAATTAGAACAGAAAAGACAATGAAAAAAATAGATTTTTCAGAGATACACAAGAGGGAAAAATTAATGAAAATTTTGCACTAAATATGACTAAAACATAAGTTATTTCCCGGATTTAAACTTTTTTAATCCCTAAATAGGACTTAATAATATCTAGTGGGAGGAATAATGTCCTAGTGATGCTGTACATTTACTTGTATAATGACTAATAGATAATGACCAATGGTCCTACATTGGGAATTAAATAAAAATATATGGTCATATATTGAGAAAGTCATTATGTTTTAGTCAGTGAAATGAAACTATCTAATGCTTCCTCTATCCCAAATTCGATTACACAATTCTAAGAACGTGCAAAATTCCATTTTTTTGAAAATTTATTTTATTTAGAAATAAAAAAAATGAAACATACCAATTTAAAAACTACACCAAAAATCTTACTCCCTCCGTCCCCCAGTTTTTGTCCACTTTTGACTTTTCGAACTGTTCATCTAAGCACTTTGATTCATCAAATTCTCTCAATATGTAAGCCTAAATATAGTCATGTGTGATCTTGTTTGATTTTTCTTAACATATAGATTATTAATATATAATTTCTATAATTTTTTAATATACAAATTACAAGATAAAATGAATTAAAGAAGTGCATTGGATGGTGTGTAAAAATAAAAGTGGACAAATACTTTGGGACGGAGGGAATATAAAATAAGTGATGACACTTGTTTTTATTTTATCAAATAGTCAATAAAAAGAGAGCGAGACTTTGTGGATATGAAGACTTTGGTAGATAACAATACCAGTTCCTTTCCAAGGTCAACAGCAGCATCTTGATAGCTACTCTTCTTCCCTTGGCTACTCCCACAGAAAACACAAATTCTTTTGAATTTTGACGCCCCATTTTCCATATTAAAGAGGCAGAGCGGAGGAGTGTACACTTAAGTAGAGAGAGAGAGAGAGAGAGAGAGAGAGAGAGAGAGAGAAATAGAGTATGTGGATATGAAGAGAGAAGAGAGAGGTGCAAAGACCTTTTGGTACTCCCACAAACCGGAAGACATACATGGTTATGTTTATATAGTGCTCAAGGCACGTGATGACGAGCATTTATTTACCACACTTGGGTTCATGCATTTTGATTTGGTGGTTCATGACATGGCCTCCATTTCATGCACACATTAGACCCCATCATTTGTCTACATATCTGGCCCGCTCTCAAAATAACGGGCTTGTGCTTGAGATTTTAAGATACAGACCAGGTTGGGGTTTATAAACATGGGCATGTGTAGTTTAGGGTCGGACTTAAATTTTGTGCTAAAACTCATAGATCGACTTGGCTCGAATGAATAATAAAAAACTATAATTATAATAAAATTAGATTTTTTCTCGTGCTTCGTACGGGCTCGTATACTATCACGTAAAATATATTATACAAATTAAACATCTTATAACACTACTACAAAAAAGACCTTTTAAATCGGTTATTTTTACCCTTTTAAATCGGTTTTGAACCGATGCAAAAGCTAGCAATGCAAATGCTCAGGTTACTTTTTGCATCAATTGTTTAACCGATGCAAAACCCTTTTCCTAGAAATGGCGCCAATTCTGGGAAGAGGCTTTTGCATCGGTTATTTGGTAATAACCGATGCAAAAGCTTAGGCATTTGCATCGGTTATTACCGAACAACTGATGCAAAAGTCTCTTCCTAGAATTGGCGCCATTTCTAGGAAGAGGCTTTTGCATCGGTTGTTCGGTAATAACCAATGCAAAAGCCCCTTTTCCATTTTCGGGAAGAGGCTTTTGCATCGGTTATTAGGTAATAACTGATGCAAATGCCTCTTCCCATAAATTGAAAAGGGGTTTTTACATCGGTTATTAACAAATAACCGATGCAAAAAATAATTTTTTTCAAAAGGATTTTTTTATTTGCTCCCAATCCACTACATTTTCAATTTTGCACAGAATTCTATGCAAAATATATAGATTCAACAACAACAACAATTCAACCCATCAACACAACAACTAACACAAACCAACAACAAACACAAATACATTCACAAAACCCAAATGCCGCAAAACAAATTAAACCAAAAAAGTAAACATTTGCCTCCATCACTTGTACATCTTAAAAAATATCAAGAGTCAAACAACTACACTCTTCTAAGTTTAAACACCACAACTAAGAGTCAAACAACACTCTTTTAACATACATTTAATACTATACAATACAACACAAACTTACACTAGTTCATCGAGAAAACCCCCCGCCCAAAACTCTCTAACCTCTTCTAATTCGGCTCTAGTATAAGGCAAAGTAGACTGAAACACCTGCAATACGAAAACAACACACAACCTAAAGTTTAATAATCTATGAAAAAGAAAATGATGATAAACACTTCATTACTTTAAAAAATACACTAAAATAAACTTACATCGTATAACGGTAAAGAACATTGTGCACACATAGTGACGACGAGTCATAAAAATCGCATGGTATAATAACCACACTCAACGCCCCCTACTTGTTGGGGTACTCCGGGAACATCAACCCAATCCGGTCGAGCCTTAAGCTGAGGCATGTATTGTATAAAAATTGAAACTAAAAATTAATATATATGAGTTGTGCAAACACTACAAGAATGTAGGAAGAAAAGAGACGGCAATTTAGTCTCATAATTGTCTTGAACGTGAGATGAAAAAGAGACGAATTCATCAGTCCCATTTATTTCGTCTCGTTTCATTTGCGACGGGAATATTCCGTCTCTTTGTGTTTGGGACGGAAACGAGACGGCACTGAAATGAGACAGAATTCCGTCTCTTATATGTATAAACTTGGCCAGCCAACATTCAAAATTTTTCATTTTAGAGACTAAAATCTGTCTCAAGATCTAAATATTAAAACAATGACTTGCTGAGATTAATAACACCTCCCTAAACTAAACCCATATATTAGGTAGTACCAGAACAATTAATGGTGCTCGAACAAAATATTTTTTATTTTTTTAGAATAAAGCAACCCAACAAAATAATGTCTTAAACAACCTTAATATTGTAACACATGTCTTAAAAAACACATATTCATCATAATCCAAAACAATCTAATTGAAACAAACATACTTTCTCAAAACAATAACAACTTCATTTTTCACCATGTCCAAACTCCAAAACATCAATGTATCATGCTCCTGTTTATGACAATGTCATCATTAATTGTGTGCTTGCAGAGCTTTTATTCTTCATCTTCTTTTGCATCTATCAAAAAAACAAGTATAAAATTGTTACCTAATAAGTAAGATATGAAAGTAGTTGAATACTTGCTTTTTTCAATTTTGAATCTACCTGCGATCCAACTCATCATCATCTAAAGAGCATAATGACTTCTCTGAGTCCTCGCTATCATCAGAAAAAGGTTCAAAGGGGGGCTGTTTTGTTTTTGATGGGCGGGGAGGCTTCTTTTTGCTTCCAGATTTAGATCCACTAGAAACTAGAAAAGTATTTATTTCACTCTCTTGAATTATTCCTCTTTTTATTAGTTCTCGATAAACATTTGACATTGATGCATTGAATGACCTCATTTTGTTTCTTAAATCATCCATTTCTTCTTCAACCTCGCGATGACGTTTTCTTTCTTCTCGTTGAGCCATCTTTGTTTTTTCCAATTTTTTCTAAGCTCTCTATTTTTCCTTTCCAGGCTGCATCTTTCTTAACGAGTTCTGCTTTGAGATGCTCAACCTCACTACCATCCACCTTTTACAATAATACTCAAGAAACATTATAGTGCACGTGTAAAGAATAAAAATAGTAATACTACAAATGTATAAATAATTCATATCCCTAAAAAGTATGATAAGAGCTCAAAATAAAATAAAAGGCATTATAAAAATTTCATTCTACAAAACAAAACACCTAATATGCATAAACAATCATATTTACCTGTGATGTCATAGCCGCTGAAGAAAATGCATTAGAAAACTCCAAAGGCACACTAGTCCATTGATCTCCCTTTTGAACCCCACCAGATGCTTGAACCCAATCAACATCTTTATCGAACACTAGCCACCTTTCACGATCTTCCTCAAACTTAGTAACCATAACTTCACAATACTTTTCCTAACAAGTTAAAAAAAGTGTGACAACATATAATAAAAAAAGGAATAAACCTGTAAATATGATATACTCCGTACCAAAATTTGAGTATGTCGAGTTGGATATGGTTGTCCGGTTTTTGGATTAGTACACATTGTTGGAATTTTTGGCATTTTTAATAGGCATTAAATAGACCAAATTGGGTATATTTGTCAATAGGTCCACTAACGGTTTTAACCGTTAATAAATGGACGTGTGTTCTCTTTAATGAGATAAATGTTTTGACAATTTATACGCCAAAAATGGTAGAGGGTGAATGAGAAATTGATTCTCAGAGTTAACCCCGTTAATAAAAGAATATGGTAAGGATTGCAATTTTTGCAATTTTACTGAACCAATCTTCTTTTATTAATTTTACGTATTGTTTAAAATTAGTCCATTTTTTCGAAGTTAACTGGCCATTAATCTCCAATTATTCGGGACAAATTTTAAACGAAGCGTAGCGTAACGGACGTGTTAATGGCTAATTAAACACCATTAACACACCATTAGTATGCCACAAATGACATGATTAATACTAAGGGTTAATGGTGTAGGAGTTACACATTTTAAACTCCTTAGTTATAAAATCAAAGGGCCCCTCTCCTCTTTTCTTGTGTGCCTTGCGTGAGAAAGAGAGACAGAAAAGTGAAAACACTTTATTGCTTTCTTTTAAATAGAGCGCTTGATTTTCCGGCCATCCCCTTAAAGTTTTGGACCCTGCTAGGGTGCCACCACATGGGTGCACCCATGGTAGCACCCATGTGGTGGCACCCTAACATTTTCCTAAAGTTTTTTGTTGTCAACGTTCCTACGTTGTTCTTGTTCGTTGGTGTGTGGTTGGTCCGTACAATCTCCACACACGATAGCGGTTTTATCCTGGGAGGAGAGTGCCCACGTTTTTTCGGTACGGTAGGCGGGCACTACTACCTTAAGGACAGCTCCGGCGACTCTGCTGTCCTTCCACGGTGTTTTTTTGCAGGTTCAGTTCATAAAGACCTCACTGCATTCTGTCCTAGTGCATAATATCCTCGCAGCCCAGTGCATAATGTCCTCGGAGCCCAGTGCATAACGTCCTTGAATTACTGTCGAGTGCTTAATGTCCTCGCTGTCCAGTGCTTAATTTCTGTGCTGTTTAGTGCTTAATGTCCTCGTACAATAAGGCCGTTTGAAGATATAGAAATTTATTTTCCAACTTTGTTTATTTTGTAATATTCTGAATAAATTATAAATTCAGCATTTTATTTATTTTTTATTTCTGGGGCCGTTCATCTTCCCCGCCCGTTGTAATCCGTACGAGTATTGTAACAATCTTAAGGTAGTAGTCATATCCGTGCACGATGGCGGGTATGGACGGATTCGGTTTTGACGCTCACACCAGAAACGAGAGTAGTTCCGAGACTCCAGTTGTGAACGTTTCGGCTGGATTGGGTGGCTCTGTTGGGCCGACCACTTCGATCAACATTCCTTTCGGATCGAGTGCGGCCATGGGGTCCACTCCGATCACCACCTTCGTTGGATCGAGCGCGACTATGGGGTCCGCTCCGGTCACCTTGGTTATTGGACCAACCGCGGCTACGGCCGCAATGGTCACCCCACTCGGACTGAATATGGCTTCGGCCATACCGGTCATTCCCTCACTTGGACCGAACACGGGTGTCTTCACATCCGCACCGGTCGGACATCCTACTGTCATGCTACCTGCAAATTTTGTCAAAGAACCGGCAAAGTTCACAGGTGTTGGCTTTAAAATATGGCAGCAAAGGATGTTATTTTGGCTAACCACCCTCAACCTTGCGAGGTATTTGAGGGAGGATCCCCCTGTTATGGGGGAGAACGCGGACGAGCCAACAGTTCAGACTAAAGAGGCATGGATAGCGAATAACTATACGTGCCTTAACCTTATCCTGAATTGCTTGAGCGATGCCTTATATGCTGTTTATAGTAGGGCTGCATCCGCAAAGGAGTTATGGACTACACTGTCCAACAAATACCAGGCCGAAGACGCCGGTGCGAAGAAATTCGTTGTCGAAAAGGTCTTGGATTTTAAGATGGTGGATTCCAAACCCGTGGTCAGTCAAGCTGAAGAATTGATTCTCATTTTTAATGAGTGCACTGACGAGGGAATGGGAGTCAGTGAGGCATTCCAAGTGGCGGCGATTATTCATGTGCTCCCGCCGGCTTGGGATGAGTTCTAGAGCTATCTCAAGCTCAAACGGAAAGAAATGACTTTAGAACAGTTGCTTGTTCGTCTCCGGATCCGTGAAGAGGGTCTCAATCGCGAGAAGAAAGTAGTTGTTGCTAAGGCCAATGTTGTGGAGCATCCACCCAAAGAGGGTTCTTCCAAAGGGCCCAAGCCAAATAAGGACAAGAAGAAAATTGGTCCTAAAGGAGGCGTCGCGAAGACCAAGTTCGCGGGGAAATGCTACAACAGTGGCATTATGGGCCACCGTTCTTCAGAGTGCCGCAAGAAGCCTCAGAAGAAGGAGAAGAATAAGGAAGAAGCTCTCTGCTCGGAGCTAGATGCTATGGACCTTTGTGCTGTCGTGACAGAGGTCAACCTGGTCGGGTCTAACCCGAAAGAGTGGTGGGTTGACACCAAAGCCACTTGTCATAGCTGCTCCAATCGGGCCATGCTCTTTGACTTTAAGGAGACTTCTGCCAACAAGGTGTGGATGGGCAACTCCGCCCAATCCAAGGTTCAAGGCGTGGGAAAAGTTAAGCTCAAGATGACATCCGACAAGGAGCTCACGCTGAATGATGTGTTGTATGTGCCGGACATATGGAAAAACTTGGTGTCAGGCTCACTATTAAACAAACATGGATTCCGCATGGTGTTCGAGTCTGATAAGCTGATCTTGAGCAAAAAGAGAATATTTATAGGCAAAGGTTATATTTCTGATGGGCTTTTTAAGCTTAATGTACTCACTGTCGTTGAGAAAGTTAATAAAACTCCTGTTGCCTATGTTTGTGAGTCTTCCAATGTGTGGCATGGCAGACTAAGACATGTTAATTATGCATCTCTTCGGAAATTAATTAACATGGAATATATCCCTAAGTTTGACATCGACCTATCCCACAAATGTGAGACGTGTGTCAAAGCAAAGTCAACACGAAGTTCGTTTCAAACAATTGAACGAACCACTCAGCCACTGGATTTAATTCACACGGATCTGTGTGATTTCAAAGCAACGCCTTCAAGAGGTGGTAACAAATATGTTATCACTTTTGTCGATGATAGCACAAAGTACTGCTATATTTATTTACTTAAAAGTAAAGATGAGGCATTGGACACTTTCATTTGGTATAAGAATGAAGTAGAAAAGCAACTCAATCGCAAAATAAAAGCGATTAGGAGTGATAGGTGCGGGGAGTACGAAGCTCCATTCGCCGAATTATGTGCACAACAAGGAATTGTGCATCAGGTAACTCCGCCATACACACCCCAATCAAACGGTGTGGCGGAACGGAAAAATCGCACTCTCAAAGATATGATGAATGCGATGTTGCTTAGTTCGGGGCTACCCCAAAATATGTGGGGGAGGCTATTTTATCTAGCAATTATTTGTTAAATAAAATACCCTGAAAGAAACTCGATAAGACTCCTTACGAGCTGTGGTATAATAGGAAACCTTCCTATAAATACCTGAAAGTGTGGGGGTGCCTTGCAAAAGTTTTAGCACCACCACCAAAGAAAATAAAGATTGGTCCAAAGACCGTTGATGGAATCTTTATTGGATACAGTGGTAGTGCGTATCAATTCTTAGTGTATAGGTCTGATAATCCAGAAATACATAAGAACACGATAATGGAATCGAGGAATGCAACATTCTTCGAAAAGATATTTTCGTTAAAGTCAAGGGAAGAAGCAAGTTCGTCCAAACGTTCACATGATGAAATGTTGAACAATGGTTCCTCGGATCAGTCTAATACCGGTATAATTGATGAAACCGAAACTGAGACTGAACTAAGACGAAGTAAAAGGACACGGACTAAGAAGTCCTTTGGTAATGATTTTCTAACTTATTTGTTGGAATTTGAATCGGAGACTCTATCATTTGTGATAGAGACTGAACCCGATATTCTAACATGTTTATTAGAAAATGAACCACGAACTTATTGTGAAGCAGTGACTTCGTCTGAAGGTCCTCGGTGGAAAGAGGCAATTAAAAGTGAAGTTGATTCTATTATGCAGAATCATACTTGGGAGTTAGTGAATCTACCTCCTGGATGCAAACCGTTAGGTTCTAAGTAGATCTTTCGGAGGAAAATGAAACCAGATGGTTCCATTGATAAGTACAAAGCCAGACTTGTAATTAAGGGTTACAATCAACGTGAGGGATTTGATTATTTTGATACATATGCCCCTGTGTCAAGGATAAATTCCATTAGGATGATACTTGCAATAGCTTCCTTGCGGAACTTACAAGTTTATCAAATGGATGTGAAAACAGCTTTCCTTAATGGAGATCTAGAAGAAGAGATCTACATGGAACAACCAGAAGGGTTTATAGTTCCTGGTCAAGAAAGGAAAGTATGTAAACTCGTTAAGTCATTATATGGTCTTAAACAGGCGCCAAAAGTATGGCATGAGAAGTTTGACCAGGTAATTGATGAATTCTAGGTTCAAAATTAATGAATCAGACAAGTGTGTTTATCTAAAAAACACATCCCAAGGGTATGTCATGTTGTGTCTATATGTAGACGACATACTCATAGTTGGTAGCGATGACAAGATGGTCAAGTCTACCAAAGACATGTTAAACTCGCGATTTGACATGAAAGATATGGGCGTGGCTGAGGTAATTCTTGGAATTAAAATTGTGAGAAGACCTGGGGGTTTAGCACAGAGCCAATCCCATTATATTGATAAAATCCTTGACAAGTTCAACAAGGATGACGTTAGAGTAGCAAAGACGCCGTTGGACATCAACACGCACCTGGCTAAAAACCGAGGTTCCAGTAACTCTCAAATCGAGTATGCGAGAGTTATTGGAAGTTTGATATATCTAATGAGTTGCACTCAACAAGATTTAGCCTATGCCATAAGTAAGCTGAGTAAATACACCAGCAATCTGAGTGATGAGCACTGGAAGGCTATTGTACGTGTGATGAGATACCTGCGGTATACACGTGACTATGGATTATGCTACTTGAGATATCCACCGGTACTGGAAGTATACTCGGATGCGAATTGGATATCTGATAGTAAAGACTTGAAGTCCACAAGTGGATATGTCTTTACGCTAACGGGTGCAGCAATATCTTGGAAATCCTCAAAGCAAACAGTGATTTCTAGGTCCACCATGGAGTCTGAGTTTATAGATTTAGACAAATGTGGTGAGGAAGCTGAATGGCTACGCCACTTCCTAGAGGACATTCCAAGATGGGATAAACCGGTCGCACCAGTTTGCATCTATTGTGATTGTCAATCAGCAATAGGACGTGCAAAGAGTAATATGTATAATGGTAAGTCTAGACATATTCGTCGTAGACACAAAACCATTAGACAACTTCTCACAACTGGGATTATCATGATTGACTATGTGAAGTCAAAAGATAATCTGGCGGATCCACTAACCAAAGGGTTAACAAATGAGTTGCATGAGAAGTTGGTGGCAGGAATGGGTTTAAAGCCCTTGTGCTAGGACAGTCCTATGAAGGAAACTCCAACCTGGCTAGTACCCAGGTTCAATGGGACAACCTACTTGTAGGATGAAGCGTGGTCACTGTGGGGGCAGTACCGGAACCTCCGATCAGTCCCTTCTGTTCCTGCTAAAAACAGTGACTCTTGAAAATGATGAGGTTAGCATATAAAAATGCTTTAATGATTCTTAATCAATAGACATGGTTGTATAAGTGGAGTAATCGGGATACTCTTAAAGAATAACCTATGTAAGAGTGAAGTGTGGTCGCTTCAAATGGAGGATCTTGGGCTTAATCCTCTAAACACTCTCACAGCACCACGCGCGGTTCCCACGACCAAAATGGGCACAACCATGATAACATAATGATGTTTGGTTGGAATGTGTGTATGGTATACTATCGTTTACACAAACGGCAGTACAGTTCAAAGACATCGCGTTCTACTGAACAGCTAGTAAAGAAGGTATACTTTACAAGGGACATGTTCAAAAGTGGAGACACTTACATGTTCTTTGCAGGTTTTCAACCGAGGGATGTTGTCGACCCCCAAATTAATTTTTCATTCTTGTGGGGGATTGTTGAAATTTTCGGCATTTTTAATAGGCATTAAATGGACCAAATTAGGTATATTTGTCAATAGGTCCACTAACGGTTTTAACCGTTAATTAATGTACGTGTGTTCTCTTTAATGAGATAAATGTTTTGACAATTTATACGCCAAAAATGGTAGAGGGTGAATGAGAAATTGATTCTCAAAGTTAACCCCGTTAATAAAAAAATATGGTAAGGATTGCAATTTTTGCAATTTTACTGAACCAATCTTCTTTTATTAATTTTACTTATTGTTTAAAATTAGTCCATTTTTTCGGAGTTAACTGGCCATTAATCTCCAATTATTCGAGACAAATTTTAAACGGAGCGTAGCGTAACGGATGTGTTAATGGCTAATTAAACACCATTAACACACCATTAGTATGCCACAAATGCCATGATTTATACTAAGGGTTAATGGTGTAGGAGTTACACATTTTAAACTCCTTAGTTATAAAATCAAAGGGCCCCTCTCCTCTTTTCTTGTGTGCCTTGCGTGAGAAAGAGAGTAAGAAAAGTGAAAACACTTTATTGTTTTCTTTTAAAGAGAGCTCTTGATTTTTCGGCAAAATTTTCTAGCCATCCCCTTAAAGTTTTTGGTCGTCAACGTTCCTACGTTGTTCTTGTTCGTTGGTGTGTGGTTGGTCCGTACAATCTCCACACACGATAGCGGTTTTATCCTGGGAGGAGAGTGCCCAGGTTTTTCCGGTACGGTAGGCGGGCACTACTACCTTAAGGATAGCTCTGGCGACTCCGCTATCCTTCCACGGTTTTTTTTGCAGGTTCAATTCATAAAGACCTCGCTGCATTCTGTCCTAGTGGATAATGTCCTCGCAGCCCAGTGCATAATGTCCTCGGAGCCCAGTGCATAACGTCCTTGAATTACTGTCTAGTGCTTAATGTCCTCGCTGTCCAATGTCCGTGCTGTCCAGTGCTTAATGTCCTCGTACAACAAGGCCGTTTAAAGATATAGAAATTTATTTTCCAACTTTGTTTATTTTGTAATATTCTGAATAAATTATAAATTCAGAATTTTATTTATTTTTTATTTCTGGGGCCGTTCATCTTCCCCGTCCGTTGTAATCCGTACGAGTATTGTAACACACATATGTTGTAACAGCTCATCTAAACGACAAGGGCGACCTAGTTGAATAGACTACAAAGAAGCCAAAAAAAGATATCTTAATCCATTCTTTCGCAAATGCTTATCAATTTTAATAGAACCCCAAAAATATCTTAATCCACATTTCTTACAGGGACATTTTACCATATCTTCATTATTGGCAAATGCAACTTTCATAAAATCTTGAACACCATTTAAAAATTCGGGATTTATCCAACCATTTTCCAACAAACGTTTTCGCATCCATTCCCTTCTATTTGACATTAGTAACTTACCTACATTTATTAAAAAAAATAATATAATTAAATTATTAAACATTTATGTATATGCTAATTTTTGTATAAATTAAATGAAGAAGTATTTCAATCAATAACATAATTAAGCTGGACTTAAGAACAAAAATTTATTGTATAAAAGTTAATTGAATTATATATCTCTTACATTTTATACTTGAATAATAATAATAAACAAAGAATAACTCAATATCCAATATTCTGTAAAACATAATTACATACCTAAGAAATGAGAATGTAAATTTTTTGATTAATTAGAAGCAATAAAACAAGATTTTTGAATGGGGATAGTCCTAATATTTGAGGTGTGTAAATAAGTTAAAGAAATTGAAGATAATGTTTACGGAAGAATAAAAATTCATAAAACGAAAAGTATATTAGAGATTGAAAGTTAAGAAAAGAATGACTTCTAAACAGTCTAAACAGGTATATTAGAGATTGAAAGTTAAGAAAAGACTGACTTCTAAACAGGTGTGAAAGATATAAATTCCATCAAGAGACGAAAATCGGTCTCTCGGATCTGTCTCAACTTTTGAGACGGAAATCCGTCCCTATGTTTCGTTTTTGTTCAAGAGACAGAAATCCGTCTCTTTTTTCTGTCTAGTTTACCCTTACATTCTTGTAGTAAAATGAATAAAAATGTATTGTATTTTAATTTCTAGGATAAAGTAGTGGAATAAAATATTAGAGAGCTCATTTATATATGAGTTCTTTTTATCTTTTATAATTAAGTTTTAAGTGATTTCATAATATATGATTATTTAATAATGTTTTTATATGATGATGATATATATTACATATGTGATTATTATTGTTGTTGTTGTTGCTATTATAAGCATCATAGCGATGGTGTTAAGTGCGGAGAGGGTTATGACATGCAAATTGGAGGAGAGGGGAAGATCAAGAGTTTTTCTTTTCTGTTGCTCATCCTCACACGTTCAAATTCTACAATTTCAGATTTTAAATATTTTTGACTACGTTATTTTGACCTAATTTGTTAGTTAAGAGTCTAATTTTAATTCACTTGACTAATATAATTAATATTCATCAAGTAATAGACATAATCGTTGTCAAACCAAGCTTTGTTTTCTTCCCTTTCATTTTTTTATAAACACTGTAATAAGCAAACAACTAAGTTTATATTATATTTTTCATTCATTTAGTCAATAGTCACACTTAAATTTTAATGCGCATGTGTGGCATCACACGTGTTGTATGGAACACATATGACGTTTTCCTTAAGAAAAATGAACTTTTAAATTTTTTTCATAAAAAAAACATAAATAATGTAGTTTGTTTAAAAAATATATGATTAAATTTAAATGGAAATACATATTTAAAAAATGAAGGTACACATGTATATAAACTTAATAAAATGAATGGTGTATATGTTCAAAAGTTGAGCCCGGTTCCATGGCCACTGGATTCCAGTGGCCACAGAAGCCACTGCCCCCCTACGGAGCTCCATTCATAAAATTGATGATTCCTACCCCCAGTAAACCCCCCGCCAAATCCCGACCCAAACTAATCATGCCACCTACGTCAATTGCACCTCGTAAGTATAAAGTCAAAACTTTTGACTTTAAAGTCAATTATATACTTACGAGGTGCAATTTACGTAGGTGGGGTGATTAGTTTGGATCGGGACTTGGCGGGGGGGAGGGGGGGGGGGGTTACCGGGGGGGTTTTTTTAAGTATTATATTGTTTTTTATAAATTAAATATTTTATAATTTTTAAAAATAAAATTACTTATAAACTTTTGAGAGCCAGGTTTCATGGCCACTGAAAATATAATAAAAAATAATTATTATTTTAGTTAGAAATTAGTAAGATTTTATAAAAAAAATAAAATGAAAATAACGATTATATAGTATCAAGTTTAATATTCATGTAAAATACAAAAATATAGCAAGTGAAAGGTTTATAAACAATTTGATCACTTATTTTATGTGCGTGGGTAGCATTGCATATGACACGTGGAATAAAAGTGTCATTTTATTAATTTTTTATTTAAAAAAATTAACACTTTATTTTATAAAATAATTATATGAAAACATAAATAGTTTTTCAAAAATATAAAATCTACATAATATTTGAAAGAAACAAATTAGTTTAAACCGCACTACATTGGCGTATAGAGACACATATATAATAAAGCATGATGAAAAGTTCTAAAATAAATTATATAGTTATTAAAGATGCATATGTGATAAAGTTTATATTAAAGTTTGAATTAAACAATGTAGTTAATAAAGATGCGTAGGGAAAAATGTATGTAATTGTTTTTAGAAGTACTCCGTAATAGAAAAAATAAATGGTACCATGCATAGCTTTAAAATTTATATACAATGTTTTTTTCAATTAATAAAGCTTATATTATTTTTAAAAATAACTCCATGCTTATGCATATTTAAAAAAATATGTTATCATAATGAAATGGATATTTTTTTTAAATAGTTTGAAAGTGAAGGGCATTATAAAAGTTTAATTAAATAATTTTTATTTAATATTAAAAAGTGAAGGGTATAGAAAAATTGTTTTGGGAAATTTTATAAAATTTAATTATTGCGTGTATATTTGTTTTTTATATTTATTTAAAACTCTATAAATAAAAGTTTTAAGTATTATATAATTATGTGACTTTTCAATTTTCTTCACTTGCTTAATTAATTGCCTCATTTATATAATAATTAAGTGAAAAAAAATTGATTAAAATAAAATTAAGTGGCATGATATGGCAGCACATTTGGCAATAAAAATGATGACGTGGCATGACACATGTCGCAATGGCAATTAATCTGCTCAACTTTATAAATACTAGTTTTCTACCCCGTGCTACGCACGGACTTGTTATTAGGGCTTGTTGTCATAATGATATTGAGGCGATGGTTGGAAATTGAGGGTTTGGTTTATGATTAGATTTTCTTCCGTGCTACATTTGGGTATGTGTTAAAGGATTGTGTATGTTTTGGTTTTGTAGGATTTTGAAATACTACATTGTATCCTTTTGTTTTGTGAAATGTGAAGAGTAATCCTATATATATATATATATATATATATATATATATATATATATATATCTTTATCCTTATCCTTATATATTAAATTTGAGAGTTAAACTCCTAGAATTATGACAAGTGGCGAATCTACATGGCAATGTTTTAACAAGTCACCCGCCACCTATTAACGATTGAATGACGTG